GCTCCATCTAGGTTTGCAGGCCCTTACCGTAGGGGGACGGACCGGATTAAGCATAAAAAAAAAATACTATTTAAATCGTAATTTATATCAGACCCGTTTTATTATGATGATTTAAATCAAACCTTTCCCCATAAAAAAATTCCCTAAACATTTTTTTTGCCGTTTGTCTATTCTTTGATGCTTTCTGTGCGCATCTGCTTTGTATTTAAATCAAATAAATATCACACTAAGAAATATTCATTCAAGGCTAAACGCGAGCACAAAACTTTGCTTTTATGAGCGAATCGGAGCGTTCAGCTTCATTTCTAGAATCCACCTCGTTCGTGAGTTATGTATCGTCCTATTGGCAATCAAGTCAGGATGGGAAATAAAACTCCAAAGACAGCTTCTTAACTAACTCAAACAATGTATTTTTTTTTCCTGGTATAGTAGGGATGACAGGAATAAAAAGTTATTAGGGATAATTTTTTTCTTTCGCAATGTTATCAGTCATGAGAAAAATTATTCAATCAATCTGCCATTAAAAAAAGTCTAGAGATAAAGAATCACTATTTTAGAGCCGCAGTGATTTAAATATAATTGACCTAATTTAAATCAAATAAATTTGATATAAATCGAGTAAACGGTATTTAGAGCAATAAATATGATTTATTACGATTTCTTTAATCATCACTTTCTTCTACTCTGGTGACGGGGCGAGAAAGTCCCGCTCATTTTAAAATCACACGTTCCTTGGTTTCATTCTCGAATTGTCATATAGCGCACAACGCGATTATTTCGGAAAATTTGGCTCCATATATTTTCATTCTCAACATTCCAGCTCCAGCTTCAAATAGCGTAGGGGCCCCCCGTAAAGTATCAATTAAACTTTTTTTTTTTTTTTTCCTTTTCTGCTTTCGTTGCTTGCACATAAATAAAAGCGAACTAGGACCAATTTCTAAAGATTTTCCACAAAACCTTGCTGCTCGTTGGCGTTTTGATTTGTACGTCTCTCTTAGTGTATCAACGCGAAAGCTTATTTCTCATTAGTGATTTATATCAACCTGCCTAATAATTTTTTTTTTTTTTTAGGATGCGACATTAAATGTGCAGCGGGTGATACCTTTTATTATTCACATGACTGCTTTTTTCGGAGGTAGAATTCGTGTTCACTGTTTTGTTTTCTTATCTTTCTGTTTCCTATTGTAAGACATTATACTGGGCTCGAAGGTCGCCTGGTGCTTATTTTTGGCACTCGATTTGTTCGCCCAATGGGCTAAAACCATCTCTGACATGAATGTTTGAGCACTTTAACTAAAACAAACATAAACAATATAGAAATAGATCCATGAATGAACATAAAAATGTGTTTCTCTGCGGAATATTCGCACAAAAATTAATTAAAAACAGAAAAATGGGTGCATGTGAGCCCGAAGAAGCTAACCATTACGTAAATTAACCTGACACTTGGTGATAAGTAAAGAGTTAAAGGGAAATAGGGGGGACATAAAAAGGAAATCACCATAACGACTTAGCGATAATGTTTGGGGTTTGGGGAAGTTTGTGTGTAGTTCTTATCAAGTGATTGGTAAGAGCATAGGGCGGGAAGGGTGCTCTTTTTTTCGTTGTTTATGAGATTAGAAAGACGTAATTATTATCGGTATTTCCGTGACCAATGTATTTTTTAATCCGATATCATAAAATAGCACATGGTACTGCGCGTGTGTAAAATAATTGGAACAAAAAACGTTTTTAATTTTTATTTTGCCAACGCCGTACACGCCGCGTTGATGTGGGGGAGAAAACATGATGTCACTGAGAGTGAAGGACTACTGAGGAGAAAGATAAACGTGAGTGCACGTTAGATTTTCTAAATTAAAATCTGTTTTCTGAATGTTACGTTGTTACAAAAGTCAGTGTACGATAATGATCTTCCAGGAAGCATTTGTCGATACCCCCGAAACTCAACTATCCGAGCTTCTTTGGGGTTATGTATTATTAAACATTTTCAGTTAGACTCCTATGCGGAGGGCAAGTTCGTCTTTTTCTTGCGCAGGGGGTAGCGGTGACGTCAGAGCGCCGAGCCCTGATTGGCTGGTCGCGACCCCCTATCTGAGCGTCGTCTGCTCCTTTGCAACGTCGTCTGCTCGCAACGTCGTCTGCGTCTGTCTTACCTTTCCTGCGACTTTCGGAAGCGCAGAGGCCGGATTCACGAAACGAACTTACGCCAAAAATGTGCGTAAGACAAAACTTAAGAACAAATTCGTATTCACGAAACAAAATTCTCGTAAGTTTTGCGCAGGTTACGACGAAATCCTACGGCAGCTCCGAAACTAGCTGTCTTACGCACTTCTTACGATCAAATCAGCATGGCCGACAGCGTCGCGGTCGCGACGACCCACGGACGTTTATTTTTCTACCTGCGCTTCTGACGTGTCCCGACTTCAAGAAACAAGAAAAAATTAAGAAGTACTTGAAACAGACCACGACGAACAAGAACGCTGGATCCACAAACATCCGGGAAAAGCTTCAACGGCTACGATTCCACCGAACGCGACCAAACGAGCTGGGCAGTTAGGCCTAGCAGGCACTCCGCGACTCGGCGACCGTCTGTCTGCCCACGACCGGCTGTCGTGCTGAATGGAACATGCCCGCACGACCCTTGTGAACCCTTCCCGTATTATAATTTGATCGCTGACCTCAATTTTAGATTAAGAGTTCAATTTCTTCCTCTTGTTATCTCCTTGCTTCCCGAGGCAACGGTGACTCTCGCCAGTGAAAAAGCGGTGAATCTCCGACAGACGCAGGAAGGGTAAAGCAGCCATCGCTTTGACTAGCAGACGAAAAGCAGACGACGTTAACTGCGCCAAACCGCCGACGCCGTTAAAGAGTAAGCGGTCTCACCGCACACGAATGGAGTTTAAACAGTATTTGGGAGGGAACTTGCGGACACTAACACGCTCACTCTCGGTTCTAAGCAGACAAACCTCGGCGCCCGGGACACCTCGCCAGTGAGTCCTTTGACTTCCCTCCTTGATGCGCGTCTGCTAGTTGTTAGACAAAAACAACGCACCACTCGAGTTATTTCGTCTGCCCTCTCTTAAAGGCGAAGTCGAGTTTACTCCGAAAGTCGCAGGAAAGGTAAGATACACGGAGACGACGTTGCAAAGGAGCAGACGACGCCGAGATAGGGGGTCGCGATCAGCCAATCATGGCTCGGCGTTCTGACGTCACCGCTACTTCCTTTTTCATGCGCAGAAGACGAAAATGAGCCCACTTGCGAGGCGTATAGTGCGCAAGCAGTCTTACTTTCATATCTGTTGTTAAAAGATTAAAGCCAACGAGCCGCGACAACGCTAAATATGTCGGCCGATTTTTTTTTTATTTTTAGTTTTGCTTGAGCTTGAGTTTTTCCTTCTTACCGACATTCAATTTAATTTACATCGTGGAAAACTAGATGTGTGGTCTATTCATAGCTTTTAAACAGGAAAATCAAATTGGGGTGAGAGGGTTACACAGAAGATTCCGGTACGCTCTTAAGTCCCATTTCTTTGACCGGCCTTTCGTGAGACAAACTTGCTAGAGCTTTCAGCTCTGAAAGTTGAAGTTCCTCAAGTCTCCCACCCCGTGTTCCAACCACGCCTTGAGATCGCACGCAACGATCCACGGACTTCTGATTCTTCTGAGCGGTCAGAGGTGAACCCACCCAAAACACGCGATGAATAATTCAACAATTCACAGCCCTTCTACGGTCACCGGGTGAGAACGAGGAAGCATGAAAGGCTTTCATGCCGAGCTAGGACGTGAGTATTCCCGGCACTGCGGGCGACGCAGCTGGAGTGGAAGGCGCACATTGACGCGCGACGCGGAAGCGTGACCTCGACATGACGCCAGGACGCATCTGGTCCTAGAGGCGAAATCAATTTGGCAGCTGGCCAACTTTGGTGCAGGTGCCTCTTCATGGGCGCTTTTTGGAACGCTTTTTTTTTTTTTGACACCGAAGACTATACGGAGCGCAAGTTCGTCTGCTTCTTTTTGCAGGGGTTGTGATGACGTCAGAAAGACGTCGAGCTCTGACTGCATGGCTCTCATTGGTAAGGATAGTGGGTAGACGTCACGGCAGCTTGCTGTGAGGTCTACTCACTGTTCTTCAATGAGAGCCAATCAGAGCACGGCGTTCTGAAGTCACCACAACACCTGCTAAAAGAAGCAGACGAACTTGCGCTCCGCATATAGGGAAATATTTTGCCATGTCAATTTAAGTCCGACTGCAGTCGACGCTACGATTCGATGAAACCATTTAAGCATCGCCAAAAGCGCATAACCCCGCGCTCGTTGTCTTTGTGGCTCAGCTGTGCACCGTCCTAAGCCAATCCCGCATAGAAAAAAAAAAAGAAACGAAAGAATGGGGCGCATTGACTGTGGAAAGGTGACTGGTTTATCGGTGATAGCGAGCTTTCAGTCTACGATCGCCCTGACGATATCCTTTTGGAACGGCTTAATTAGCTACATTGGATTGCAACGTCGCCTGCAGTCAGCCTTAAAGTCAAGCAAAGCAAAGAAAGCGTGGTTCCTCGGCGGGCTTGCGCTGCGAATTACAGGGCGTGATTCGTGTAACGAACGGCACGGCGTCGCGCTGTCATGTGATGTCACGGCGTCCCGTGACGTCACAGTATTACGTGAAGTCACATGCACTTATGAGTTCTCACACGCCCATAATTTATGTCGTACTCCTACGCTAATAAATTTTGGAAGGGGGTAGGGTGGGGGGGAGGACGTCAGTGTGTAGAGCGATCGTGTGTAGTCTGTTACCTGTATACAGGACAATGTGCGGCGCCTCGGCCGTCGCCGCAGCTTTCTTGTGGAACGTGGCAAACAAACAGCATTTTTGTTTTGTTCTTTCCAGCCGGCCTTCCCGATCGCCGCTGGTGTGGAGTCGTAGTTCCGGCCCCAGCCGCCGCATCCCTGACCGGCGCCAGCGTCTCCCCGCTCGCATGAAACCCCCTCCTCTCGTTCTGCCGGTTCTCCGGCGGGACCCAGCGGCAAGATCGGGCGGCGTGGCGGGCAGGCGCTTCCCTCGCGCGGGACTTCATTCGTTGGCGCGCCGTGCCAGCGACCGTATCGTCCACGTTCTGACGCCGTCACGCTCCGAAGCAGAGGCGCGGAATTCCGTTGACAGCCCCCTCGGTCCGTGTCCTGTGCTCGCTGCGTGGTGCCGCTTAGTTCCCCGTCGCAAGCCGTGGTTGTGGCCGCCCCGACGACGAGTTGACGTGCGAAACCTCCTGTGGGTGTTAGCTAGTTCTTTCGGAGTTTCTGACGCTTCTTGTTATTGTCCCATGTGGTTACTGGCGCCAACGTTCCGCATCGGTGTATCGTGAGCCGCTACCGCGCACGCGGCTGTGCCCAGGGAGATACCGCCAGATCGTGCGCTTATTTCCGCATTTTGTTTGTTGCTGTTGTTATAATTTCGTCCGTGTCCGTGTGCTTTTTTTCGGCGGTGGGTGTGTACTCTACCACGTCGACGACTGCGGAGACAAGAGTGAGAGAGCAAAGGGATCCTAAAGGAGTGTGCTTTTGTATTTAGTGTGCATCGACTCAAAGAAAATGGAATCACGAAAGCAGCAAGAGCGGCGGCTCGTCGGCCTCTGGATACTATACTCACTCGTCTGTGTCATAGGTGAGGTGACGCCTATTTTTTATCTACCCGCATCTCGCCGCCTTTTTTTTTTTCAGATTTGATATGTCATTATTAATCCCTACTATTTGTGTACGATGCGCTAATTTTGTCGTCAAAATAGGCTTTGGCCGCTGAACAACATTAGGTGTTCTTGCGGTTTCCGCGCGGCTGAATAACTCGTGAACGTATGACCGAAGTCGATGCAAAACAAAACAAAAACCGCGGAATCACATCATCGGAATGATAGAAAGAAGGCTGAACATCAAACGTTAATATTTGTTGGGTGGTGGCTTAGATACCGAGAAATCAGCCTTCTTTAAAGGGTCGTGTCTGATGCCTCGGGAATCGTACTGGTCGTACTAATCATCTGTTCCCTCATTACTTCATTACCATTCATAGAGATAGAGACGCACACAATGTGAAACACCATTCATCATATAATAGAACCTTGTATTACCGGCGTTACACAGAGAAGAATCGCCAGTCACGGCAGTGAAAATACAATTGGACGTTATTTTTTCGCCGTGATTTGCTCAATGTCAACAAACTGGAAATTCCCTTAGAGCGTTTTTTGAGTTATCCGTAACCTCAGGTCTAAATTTCACTTTAAGAAAAGCAAACTTAATACAACAAGAAAGACAAATCAAGGACAAAACGTTGTTCTGCTGCAAGCTGGAGGACTGTCTCGTTTCGTTTTTCTCCCCTTTTTGTGTCTTTCAAATTCCTACCTATTTGTGTTACCGCACGAACATGCTTCCCGTAGTGCGAATCAGGAAATGAATTGGCATATTCCATCGTGTCGATCTCCCGAAAGATAAGTGACTAGCATCGATGCGAAACCTCTGGTAACAGCCGGTCGCATCAACAACTCGGCACCTCAAGGCCGCGTCTGGTGATATGCGTGGGCCGTAGCTGGGAGCGTCTTGATGACTCGCGGACTAGCCTCTAAAGTTGTCGCGAAGTACGACGCACAAACGACTCATTGAGTTCGTACCGCTACTCAAACAGGTTTCGGAAAAAAAAAAACAAGCGTTTCCGTCGGCGATCTAGTCAACCGAGAAGATAGGGCGGCCTAAGTGGCGGCTTAGACATCATCACGCACCTATCTGGGCTAGGTGTGTCATTCCGGCACGCAAAAAGCTTCCTTCGCGGGCACCAAGCAAATACGAGAGCGTCGTAGTCAATCGACGCGGGATCGTGATCTTGCAGCAAAGTCGGCACGGACGTTTGAATCACGCGCCGGGAGCAGAGGTGTAACTACAAGACACGAGATCTTAATGTGCTCTGGCAACTTCGTGTGCTCTGGCAACGTTTGGTCAGCCATGTCAGCAGAGCTGACATGGTTGACCAAACGATCATAACTTAGCTACATTTTGTCAGCATCTCCAATGGTCAGAAGCTACCTACATTTATGAATAATGATGTAATTGTGCGTGTAAATTGAATCGATTTTAAGCGTCGTGTTGGCCCGCCGCCTTTTTAAACTGGCGTGACGAAAACATGAACGACGCGACTGGTCTTACCGAGTCTGTTGCTACAAGCTTGGGACGAGTAAACGATAAAAAGGGCCGATAAATTTGACGTGTGTGACGCTTTTACGCGAACGTCAGAATCCTTACCGAGACGGTTACTGCGATTTATCCGTACCATTTGTCAAGAGCTAATTCACCGAGAAGTCAGTAGCCTATGTCCTGCCGAGAGTGTGGTGGAAGTTGTTTGGAGTGAGTGCTTCCGGCGAGCAATGTACAGTACACCTTCTGCCAATAGTAGGAACCACCGTTACTCATATTTACTAGCTGCGTCACATGGCGTTCATATCACACGCTATATGAATGATACGACTTGTTGTCAAAGCGCCAGGGACGTGAAGCTGTCCGAAGCTATATCTGAACAAACCGTGTTCACTTCTCATGTTTTGCAAGTACGATAGTTACTTCGTGCCACGTATTGCACTTTTTTGTACGTCATGGTTATGCCAAAGCCACGCGATTTTTAAGTGATTACATGAGATCAGGAATTTTCGGGAACATTCTGTACCTGATTCCCACACCCGCGAGGGCTTGAAAGATTCCAGCTGCAGCGAAACCCATGGTGGCGCTTCAGCGGCGGCCAGAGAGACTCAAAACAATCCCCGCCCTACCGCTCCCACCCGTATTACATTTTTCCTCCAACTTTTCCTTTTCCTTTGTTTTTTTTTTCCACCCGCCCTGTTTCACTTTTCGGAACCGGCAGTAGCGAGCGGCCAGGCCGCCGAAATCTTTTCCTCCTCGGACGATTCCGCCTTCCGGCCGCCGGTGATCTCTTCGGAGAGGTCTTTGCCGTTTCGCCCGGGGCATCGTTCGAATCCAGTCGCGGCAAAGCTTTGGTTTTCTGTGTCTACCTGTTCCTCCGAGGGGCCTGCGCCGAAGCCGCCGCCGCCGCCGCCAACGTACACGGACCGAAAAGTTGATGGCCTTGAACCATGTTTTCGGGACGCCTCCCTTGTTTTTTTTCTGTTTTTTATTTATTTTTATTTCTTGCTCCGCAGGTGAGAGTATATCTCTGGCGCAGCTGCAACGCTCGCCCTCTCTCGGGGTAGACGATGACGCAAGAGAAACCTGTAGCCCACCTTTTCGTTTGTTTTAACTGATGGGCTGTTTTCGTTTGTGTGTGTTTTTGGAGCTTACTTTTTCCCGTTAATATTCCGCAGCATCCAAGCGAAGCCTCCTGTTGTTTTGAAGGCGGCCCAATACTGGACGGTCTGTTTTGAACAGGTTTCTTCTGCTCTCGGTTAGAGGGGGAGTAGGTTCTAATTTAAGCGCTTTTTGGGGTACTTTGTTTTGCGGGGCCGACTGCTTCGATTGGTTCGCTCCGATTACTTTATTTTCACTCGTCGATTCCTAGAGTCACATTTCGAAAGAAAAACAAAAACCGTAGCTCGTGTTCTACAACGTGGCCTCTTCGTGTTACACCGCCGACACTGACCTACAAGCCTAGAGACGCGCGGTGAGCGAAAGACCCAGCATTACAGCGAACACGTGTTCGCTGTTTCTCCACCTTGGCTGACTTCATTTATACCGGCGAACGTCAAATACCAAACTTCATCTATCGCGCAAGTTAAAGTAACAGCGATCTCATTCCACCACGAATGCGAGTGAAATGAAGGCCCGGGGGGGGGGGGGGGGGGGGGGGGGATTGGCAGCGGCATTTATCTTCAATTTCCTAGAATGCATGAAATGCAGTATTTAATAACGTGCGATAGTTTAAAATTAAGGAGAAGACATTCAACCACCATTTCGGGCAATAACAAGGACCTTTATTTTTGTCGATTTACCCGTTACATTGCGCAGAGCACTATAGGTGCATAGGTCACGAGGCGTCAATTTACCTACTAGATTTAGCGGGGAAATTCTATCAATGCATCACGTGTCGTCAGGTCAAATTTAACATAAAAACTGAATAGGTGTATACGTTAGGTGACGTCAGTTCACGTGACATCAATTTCTTCGCCGACTGTGACGGGGAAACTTAATTGGTGTACAGATCACGTGACCTAAACATCCAGTTATTTTCCCCTCTCAATTTAGAGGGAAATGCACGGACGGACAAAACGTCGGAGTTTGGGGCCTTCCGTCAAAAAGCATTTCATGTTCTAATAGGCGGTCGCGTGTTTCAGCTAACTTGTATAGTCTTTGGTACGTTCATTAAACCGCTCTATGTCCATCGGACCCCCCTTATATATATCGGGGGTGCGGGAACAAGTTACCTTCAGGCTTCCGGCTTCGTGATTGGTTCTCCGGCATTCTTATCGGCAAACGCCGCAATCTCATTGGCTGGGAAGCGATAATGAGATGCCCGGGACACGCCACACCCTGCGTTTACAGTGACTAGAGTACGAATCAGAGTCATGGACAAATGCTTAGACAGGAGTAAAGAAAGAAAAGACGTGTACGCAACCCGTTTCGGGGAACGTTGTGTTTTCTACAACGTTAAAACATCGGCTACGAATTCTAATTCGCTCGTTGTTTATCAGTAAAACAGCGGATATCTTTCCGCTTCACCTTCTCCAAAAAGTAACGGGCAAATGCTCTTCAGTACAACTTCTGGGGAACCATATTCACCACTACCTTAATGCCCATAAATATATAAATCAGTAACGCTTGCACTAAAAAAAAATATATATATATATATATATATTGTTTTGAAAGGTTTTTTGATGCCCTAAGAACTCTTTCGCTCCTTAAGAGCGGTTTCGCTTAAGCACTATCGCCCCCTGGCGCCCTAGACAGGCAACTGATCGATGAAGACCTCTTTCGTATAAAACAAAATGAGTCTACAAGAACCCCTTCTAGGTTCATCGCGAAGGCCCCTTTTAAAGGTGCTTAAAATAACTCTTTTAGGGTGCAAAACATGGTCAAGCAGCAAGTAACGCGTTCCTAATATGCTGAAACATCGCGTTCCTCTTGGGACTCAATAAGGAGTGAGTAGCACATATAGGTGCTGTTTGCATAAGTATCGAGTACCTATATATATATATTGGCGACTTCAGCGAACTTCGACGCCGCGTAGCGGCAACGCCAAGAAGCTCAAGAGAAGATGTCATTTCGACTCTGTCGTCTGCTATCGGTGCTTGGCTCTCGTAGGCAGCATAGAAACAAACATCGTTACCAGTAATTATTTTTATGCTTCCGCCGTGTCATTCCTGCGCACTCACAAAAAGGAGGTTTTTAGCGTCGAAAAATTTATTTGCTTTCATAAATAGCACCGATTCTACGCTGCTGTGCAAGAAACTTATGATGGTCCGCGTGCTGAAGGACGAAAACTACCTCCTTTCGTCCGCCATTTTGCCTGACCAGCACCTCCTATATATATATATATATATATATATATATATATATATATATATATATATATATATATATATATATATATAGTTCGCTGGAGTCACGAACATTTACTGACAGCCTCAGAAACGACCCTAAGGCTCCAACCTGTGTTTCTGAAGCTGTCTTCTTTTTTTT